TTGTCAGAGCTCAGTTTCTTCCTTATAACTGGGCTGCTTAAAGAAGACTACTTAAACTTGAATAGTAATTCTTGGTTATTGAGTTATTCAAAGCAGCTTAAGGATCTGTGTTGCAAAAAATTTAAGATGAGCCTAGATTAAGAATTGAGACTGAGGTCAAATAAGAATTCCAGTTAAAATGAGAACTAAAATTCACAGGACATTGAATTTCTTTCCTTGCTCCAGGCTTGGATGAAAAGGTTAGGGAACATTTGTTCAGCTTGAAACGTTTCCTATGGACTTACCCCAATATTGTGAACCTAGTTAAAAAATGCATACTGCTTTGGCTGTGCACATCACACAAAGGGGCACATTCCTTTAAACAAACTCACCTCCACAGAGTAATAACAGGCTTGGGCTTTGAATACTGAAAGCATAAACCACTGCCTTGAAATGAATTTCTAAAAAAGAGCTTAAGGGTTCGGATCCACTTCTCATATCATTAAAATACCTGCTCTCTTAAGGAAACCTTGTCCACTTTAACTCATAGAAATTTAGAGCTTGAAGGCACCTTAGAGATCATTCCTTATTCACTTAACGGGAAACAAACTGTTGCTAGTTAGGTCTGGGGTTTAATAAGAAAGTTCTGAACAAGCCTCTGGCATTTCCTCAAATGTTTATAGGTTCTCAATTTTTTCCTTTTCAACTGAGCCTTCTAATGGATTTTTCAACTTTTGTGGAAAGTCCTGTTAACCACACTTTGCGAGGTCACTCTAAACAAAGGGAGAGCTATTAAACAAGAAGATAAAGGAACCATAATAGGAGTTATTTCTAAGTAATAGCATTGGATCCGTTTAGAAATAAGTCCCTTTGCAGCAACAAACATGTGGGATTCAACTCCAAACCAAGTTGTGGTCAGTGTTAAGCAATAATGAAAGGTCTAACTTTTACAGATAATCCACATTCCCACAGCTCTTTGCTTCTGGAAAACTGTTTACAGTGGAAGAAGTAAGATACAATTACCATGGAGGCTGCCCCATAGAGTAGCAATTATGTTCCCAGCTTTGGGCATTTTCCTCTGTGGTTCAGAAATCTGGAATTCATCTTTTAAAAACATGTTTTGAAATTTGACAGATGACATGAGATGTCAAGAAGGAAAGAGAAAGGAGCCCATATTTTTTTGAAGTTCTTTTTTCACACAAGACACAGTAAGTAGTGGTTTCCATATGTTTTCCCATGGAGCTTCATGACAACTGTAAAGTTGGGTGTCATAATGTGGTTGAGTCTTAGGATGAACGTTTACTGAAATAGTTTTGTGCATCTCTGACTCCAAACCTCTCGGTCAATCTTAGACACACGCTGCTTATGGAAGTCAAAGACTAATGCAGTATTGTTATAAGGGCATTGACCTGTTTAGGTGTCTTTGTGTATTCTTCTAAAGCTCCACTGAGAGTAGAAACACTGTTATTCATCTTTACATCTATGACCAAGGATTGCCCCCTGGTGCATAGAGGAAAACTCTTGCTCTGCAATAATGGGAAAGATTTCAACATTAACATATGATTATATAATTATACACCCTATCAGACATTCCATGATTAGATTTTCACATGTCTTTTAATAGGAAATTAAGTAGGACTTAACATACTACTTCATTTTGGCACTTAGTAGTTTTCTTCTCCCACTGAAAACGGTCCAGTAGTCCCAGAGAGAGTTGTTTTTGGATAAACATAGAAATTGACCTTTCTGCTGTTAAAACTTGAAACTTGCGTTTGTTTTATCTGAGTTCCTTCCTCAGGAAAGAACCTTCAGGCCTCTCAAAGTATCAAAGAACTGAAACTCACCAGATCAGGGTACCAGATGCCTCCTTGTTCCTCATTAGTTCCTGCTTTCTTACACGTTGCTACATTTCTTTCCTGCTGCATAAACCCCTAGTTTGAGTCAGAGAGATGGATTTCAGGCTGAGCTTCCATCTCACCTGTAGTATCTGAATAAAGTCTTCTTGCTCGGCAATACTCACTATCTAAACGATTGGTTTTCTGTGCAGCGAGCAGCAGGATTTACACTGAACTCGCCAGTTTTTTTGGCAACACACACAATCCTGGAAGTGGGAGAAGAGTTTGTGTGAGGAGGCATGTTGAAGTAGTTTGTGTTTGGGGGTTCTCGAGTATACATGGAGGTTTAGGTTTATTACAATGGAAATAATTCAATGAGTGTCAAATGCCAATGCCTTAGGAATCAAATGTGCTAATGAAGATTGATATCTGTCATTTAAGTACCACATATCATTTTCTTTATGAAAAAACTCACTGAATCTCAAATAATTTACAATGAACTTTTAGACCAACACTCGTCCATATGTTATCTGAACTGTATAGGACTCATATTTAACTTCAAGTATTTTCAGTTAAATATGCTGAAATGTTTCAAGAAGTTAAAAGTTTTCTGAGAAAGTCCTGACTAATTTTATTTTTTCTTCACTAATATTCAGCAGGTGATGTTTTCACGGTACAAGTTTACATAAGAAATCTTATCTATCGTGTTGAACAATTAGTCAGGTTTCAGTTGGGAAGCATACTGCAAGATAACAGTCTGAATGGTGTCTGAAAACATTGCATCTTGTGTGAGAAGCAGGTCTGGTGAACTTGCCCTTATATATACCTAATCTTAAATACATGCTCAAAAAACAGAAAGTTCCTGCCCAAAGATGTTTCAGTTTTTAAAAAGGCATGAGGTAACCAGTCAAGGGCCTAAAACAAGAAAGACTCAGTTTCTTCCACAGCAAGAACCTAGGTTGTGTGTTTCACAGGTCAGGCTGAAATAGGAAGTCTGTAGAAGGCAGGTCCCACCTCAGAGTTTCAGCTGGGGAGATTTTAGACCCACAGAGAAGCTAGAAAATATACACAGGGAAGGTTCCCACTGACACCCCTTTGAAGCTGCAGGGATTTCTTTACAGCATGTGAAGCTGGAAAACCTCTTTCTGTGAAGTGCCAACATAGAATATTGGGACTTACTGAACTCAGATGGAACCAGAACACTTACCTTTTTCTTCCCACTCAGTTCTCCCAGACAGAACCCTTGGTGTTCTAAGTATGGGTTGAAGGGGCTAAATGTAGCCTCTGGATGATGAGAAAACTATAGATTTCCTTTTGGATGACCAAGATGTGGGAAGGAGCTATTGGAGTTATTCAAAACAAAAACAAAACTCCAACAAAAACCCCAAATCAGTAGAAAAGAAATCAACCAGCTGACCTTGAAAACCCATGTGAAAATCTGCCTAGTCAGACTTTGTGATTCTATTTAAAATCTTGTTTCTGCCCTGTCTTAATAGGCTTAGACTCTTTTTACTATCTTTTATTTCTGTTTTTTGACAGATTTCATATTCCTAAGCTTTTGCTGTCATTTTATTTGTGTTAATATCTGTTATTGTTTGGGGGTGAACAGCAGGAGTTGCTTTTGGGCTCCCTGAACATGTAGTGATTGATTCTGGTTCTAGATTCTAAAGTGAATTCCAGCAACCATGTGGATGTTTAGAGATGAGAATGAGAAATTAGTCTCTAAGAATGGGAGGAACTGGCTGGTGGGAACAGTCACGGGGAAGAGGTCTTGGGACAGGCAAAGAAGTTGGAGATTAGGTATATATACCTCAAGGCATGCCTAAGTGATGATAGATTTCCTAGCCTATGGAAAAGTTAAAAGTAGCTACCATGGCCTTCAGGTTCATGGAAGAAAGAAAAAGAAATAACAAAACCCAAGCAGAGCAGAGTAGGCAAACCTGATTAAATTAACCCCTTGGTTTCAATGCTAACCTACTTCTACCCCCACCCCCCAATACCATGATGTTTCAGTGCCTGCAACATGTGGGCATTGAAATATTTGTTGAAATAAAATGCTGCATTTGTGTGAGCGTATTGTTGAAATTGAGCTATAACCTTTGAAAGGAAAACCAAGACCTTGGATAAAGACAGGAAGAGAATATGATGTGACTTCTCCCATTTCTTCTAAACATAACATGATTTTACTTATCTTCCTTTATAAACATGGAGCCTTTTCTCAGACTGTAATTGGATATTCTTTTATTTAAGGTAGGATTGGAAATGTAAGCTCTGAAGATGGAAATGTAGTTGGGGAAAGGCTCACAAGGGGTACAAAGGAAGTCCCCAAAGTATTTATACAGCAGTTTATCAGACATGGATGCTAAGTGTTTAGAAACAGGTGGTACCTGCAGCTGACTAAAACGTGTAGTCAATAAATTAAAAACCAGGTGGGGGTGGTACAGAAAGTGGTTTTACAGGTGTCAGAAAAGCAAAAGGCATGCCAGATTTAATGGCACTTGATTTTATTCTAGTTGGGTAATCTCAAGATTTCCTTATTGGTGAAAACATTTAGGCAACCTATATACTGCAATAGTAATATTAAACATTTCTCAATAATTATCTAACAGAGTTGATAAGATCACTGCAGTTATTTCTGTAGCTGTTGTGATAAGAACATTGATTTTTTTCACTATCATAATTTTAGAATATAATAGTTACTTCCTTTTCCCAGGAAAATAAAATACTATTTAAAAATTCAAACCTAAGAACTGTATTGATGAAAGGTATTTATGTGCATTAAAAATTAATTTCAGAGTTTTTTTAAATAGCAAATCTCCTTTGTGTATTTAAAGTGGCATTTCTATTGTACAAATATTCAGAAAGATCTTAATTTGTCCAGAAATGCTACAAATATTTGCTTGCAGCTTTTTCAAAGGATTTATATTACAGAGGTAGAATTATAGAGAGGAATGACAACTTAGTAGCTATGAGATCTTAAACGTATTTAACTGCTCTGACCTAATTTGTAAAAGGAGGAAGCTGAGATACACATTTCTAACATAGTTTCCAGTTAATCTACCCTATAGGTCTATAATTCCGCTACATATGAGACAGTTTTCCTAAATAACAAAATTCTCATTGTATTATTGTGCAAGCATATTTCTATTTACTAGAAAATTAGCCAAAGAGCAGAAGCTTATTTACCTGATTGCAACCCATTCTCCCCTTTCTCTGTTTGCTGTCTCTGTAGCAGTCATACTGTTGTGCAATGAGGAGAACTAGCAGAGCTATTTCAGAATTCTTCCAGGTTTTCTCTTGCTCCAACAGCACAGTTGCAAGTAACAGTCGTTTTAAATGCTTCCTCCCACTCCATTCTCCAATTCAGACACCTTCATTTCTCCTAAAAGGAAAAGAACCAGTCAGCTTAACAAAAAAAACCCTACTCCCTAACAAATTATGAGAACCAACATATGTAGCAAAATATTTTGTAATCATTTAACCAATCTAACAAAAGAATTAAAGTGTATGCATGACCAGAGCATGCTGTGCTCTTTATTTTCCCACTTATGGTGCCCACGAGTATGGGTGTTCATTCTTATTATTGACTGTTCTTACTAGCTATGCAATATGTTTACTTCTCTAGTTTTCAGAGGAGGAAATTTTTTTTAGCACAATTTTAGTCCAACACGTACTCCTCTACAATTCATGTGGTTTGTCAAAAAAGTTAAGATTGCTGGAAAAAAGAATGAATGCCAACACGAAAACATGGTTTTCAGTGTCTGGAGTACTGGCCCTCCTCTTTGTCCATCTGGCAAAGCCACGTTTTCTTCAGCACTCTGCTCCGAAGGTTTAGTCCCAGGTGGCTGGTTACTTTTTAGTGTTTTAAAATGTACTTTTGCACACCTACCTCTAGGGATTCAGTATATATTACATTCAAAGATTATCTCACCCCACTTTAATTTTTTGATTTTCATCTCTGTCTCCTACACTTGTCTGAATTTGTAGGGGGATTCAGTACCATGAGTGGGTGAATAAGTGAATTCTTTCCCATGAATGCAAGGGAAGGAAATAACTATGAGAAGGAATTTGCAGAGATTTTTTTTTCCCCCAAGAATGAATGAGGACATGGTACTAACAAGAGAGACAGAGAAGGAATAGAAAGAGTACAAAAGGAAATCCAGGAAAGAAGATTGATAGAAAAGTTAAAGAAAGGGTTTATATTAGAATGTATGTCAAGTTAATAGGGTCAAATACCCATTTTCAGATGAGATCAGGTGTGTTAAGGGCCATAGATGAAAAGTATATTTTCAATCAATAAGTATTCTATAAAAAGTAGTTTAGTACAATAATTAAGAAATACATGTTCATTGTAATTGATAAAACAATGCAAAGAGATGTATTTAAAAGATATTTTTTCCTCGTTCCTCTATTCCCAGTTGTTCCAAACTAATATTAAATGTATGCTGGATGTTAAAACTTCTATGACTTTCTCAGCGCTTATGCAAGCAAACATATATACATATAGAGGTATTGTTTGCTCTTTCACAAAAATTTAATTCTATACCCATTCATGGGCAGATTAGCAATACATCATGGACATCCTGCAGAAGACTAGTGATCTAAGTCTTTTCCTTTCCTTCCTTTTCCCTTTATTTTTCTCATCCCTTTTCTTTTCCTTTGTTCAAGGTTTACATCTGTAGAATGGATACTCCACAATCTATTTCTGTATCAATGATAATCATTTGTTTCTACAGGCTTTTTCTCTTTTTGTCTCTGCAAAAATGTTGCAATAGTCATCGCATTATACATAGGTGCTTTTGTATCTATGGGGTGGATTCTCCAAAGTGAAATTGCCTGGCCAAAAGGTATGTATATTCTGAATGTTAACAATGACCAGATCTCTTAATGTTAGCTTATTATGAGAAGCTTAGGCAACTTGTAGCTCCAGAAATAAAATTGGAGCACCCATTTTCCTGCATCTTCATCAGTTCCAAATGTCATAAATCTTTTTGGTTTTGCTGATGTGGGTGAAAAATGCTACTTTATTTTTATGTCTCTTTACTAATGAGGCTAAGCATCTTTTCATTTATTGACCAACTGAATTTTATCTTCTGTAAAAAACCATTTCTTCCATTTTTCTTTCATTGTTTCATTTTTTTTCCCTAATTGGAGGCATTCTTTTTGCTTACTATATGTAGTGAACTTTTGTCATATGCAAGTGTTTTCATAGTTAATCATTTTTATTTTGACTTTGTTTATAGTGAATTTGCCATACAGCGTTTTAATTTTATTATGTCAAAATATGTCTCTTAAAATTTATGGCTTGAGACAATTCTTTTTCGCATAGGAAGTTTTCCTCTGCCCCAAGATTGTGAAAACATCTTAATTTTCTAATTTTTATAAACCTATAAAATATTTTTGCATTTAAATTTTATCCATCTGGGATTCATTTTGGCATATGGCACGAGGTAGATGATCTAGCTTGTTTTCTTCTACACAGATAGCCAACTATGTCAGGATCATTTATTAATAAACCAATTATTTCCCACTGAATCAAAATGCCATTTTTGTGGATTTATTTCTGAATTCTATTTTGTTCCATAAATCTACTTGTCTGTTTTTGTGTTGGTGCCAGAGTGTTTTGATTAAACTGACTTTGTAGTAAATTTAAGTATCTCATAAGGTATATAATCCCCTTACCACTTTTCTTTGTTCATAATTTTCTATCATATACACTTTTTATTTTTATTTTTATGTTTTTAACAAGAGAAAAGAATACAAGTTTATTTAGTGAAAGTTTTGCAAGACATGGGAGCTTTCATAAAGCAAAGACCCAAAGAAATGATGTTTGGTTAATTTTTTAAAATATTACTATTTCCCTTTTTTTAAAATGTCAGTTTTTAATTTCAAAGGACACATGTGCAGGATTGCTACGTGGATGTATTGTGTGATACTGAGGGTACAAATGAGCCCGTCAGCCAGGTACTTAGCATAGTACTCAATAGGTAGTTTTCAAGCCCTTGCCTCCCTCCCCTGTAGCCCCCCTCTAGTAGATCACATGATCTGTTCCCATCTTTATGTCCATGTGTACTCACTTATAAGTGAGAACATGCAGTATTTGGTTTTCTGTTTCTTTATCAATTTGTTTAGGATAATGGTCTCCAGCTGCATCCAAGAAAGGATAATTTCATTCTATTTTTATGGTTGAATAGTATTCCATAGATAGAAAATTTTTAAATCTCATCAACTTTAATACAATTTTATTCATTTTTCTTAAAAACAACAGAATCATCATTGAAATTGTATTAAATTAAGAAAGTAATATTGGTTGAATTGAATTTTTGACAAAGCTACTATTTTTGTTTGTTTGTTTTCCCGAGATGGAGTCTTGCTCTGTCACCCGTGCTAGAGTGCGGTAGTGCAATCTCAGCTCACTATAACATTTGTCTCCTTAGTTTAAGCAGTTCTCCTGCCTCAGCCTCTGGAGTGGCTGGGATTACAGGTGTGTACCACCACACCCACTTATTTTTTGTATTTTTAGTAGAGGTGGGGTTTCACCATGTTGGCCAGGCTGGTCTCCAACTCCTGACCTCGTGATCCACCTGTCTCGGCCTCCCAAAGTGCTAGGATTACAGGCATGAGCCACTGTGCCCGGCCGCTTCTACTTGTTATAAGCATTGTTTGGACATTTGTGCATTCATTAGAATATTTTTGTTTTCTTAAATGACTTTCTAATATTAATTCCCCTCAATTTTTAAATTGTTTTAATTTTTATTATAGTTTTAATTTTTATTATGAAGGACATTATACATATAAATCATAATTTAATTTTTGTCATTCTGGTGGGTTAATAGTGATATTGATTTATGATCTTAGCTTACATTTCCTTGCTTACTATTGGGGCTGGGCAGTTTTCATAACTTTTTTGGCCAGGTTATAATCTTTTATTGGTGAAATGATTGTTCAAGTCTATTGTATTGTCTTTTCAATATTGATTTGTAGTACCTCTGTAGTCTGTGTATGAGTCTTTTGCTGGTTATAAGTGTTGCAGATACTGTCTCCAATTCTGTAACTTGCTTCTTGTTCTTTTTTTTTCAATATAGGTATTTCAATAGAGAGTCTTGATTTCATTATAATCTAGCTTATGATTCTCTTAATTTTGTTTTCTTTGTTTTTGTTTTGAGACAGTTTTGCTCTGTCACCCAGGCTGGAGCGCAGTGGCACGATCTCTGCTCCCTGCAACCTCTGCCTCCTGGTTAAGTGATTCTCCTGTCCCAGCCTCCAAGTAGCTGGGACTACAGGCATGTGCCACCACACCCAGCTAATTTTTGTATTTTTTAGTAGAGACAGGGTTTCACCATGTTGGCCAGGCTGGTCTTGAACTCCTGACCTCAAGTGATTCACCTGCCTCGGCCTCCCAAGGTGCTGGGATTACAGGTGTGAGCCACTGTGCCCGGCCTCGTTCTTTTTTGTTATCAGCAGAACTTTTTATGTTCTGTTGAATCTACTTCAAGGTCCTGAAGAATTATGCAAACGTTCTCATCTAGGAACTTTGGTGTTTCTCATTGAAATCTTCAATCCACCTAAAATTTTTAAAATATTATGTAGGGACCTAGTTTCTTTTTTTTGTTGTTTTTCTAATTATCTATCTAGTTGACCTAGAATCACTTACTGAAGGCCTCTCCTTTCCCCCGTGTTCTGGACTTGTTACTTGGTTGTATTGGTCTACTTGTCTAAACTTCAGGCAATGACATACCATTTTAGTTTTTTTACCTGTGTATCTAGCTAAGTATTAATAACTCCACTTTGTTCTTCTTCTTGGTCTTTTGCATTTTATATGGTGTTTAGATTTCCAATTTCTACTGGGGGAAAACCCCCCACACAAAAAAACCAAACTGTAGAAGCTTCCCTCTCTTTGCTGAGGGAACATTTGGAAGAAAACTTGGTTCTCCCTTTCAGTCTTTTCTCAAAATAGAGGACACAATGTCCTTTAAAAATATGACTCAGGGCCGGGCATGGTGGCTCCTGCCTGTAATCCTAGCACTTTGGGAGACTGAGGCGGGTGGATTGCCTGAGCTCAGGAGTTTGAGACCAGCCTGGGCAACACGGTGAAACCCCGTCTCTATTAAAATACAAAAAATTGGCCTGGCATGGCAGCGTGCGCCTATAGTCCCAGCTAGTCGGGAGGCTGAGGCAGGAGAATTACTTGAACCTGAGAGGCGGAGGTTTTGCGGTGAGCGGAAATTGCACCACTACACTCCAGCCTGGGCGACAGAGTAAGACTCTGTATCAAAAAAAACAAAAACAAAAACAAAAACCCTCAGATCATGTGATATACTTGTCTTTATACCTTCT